TGGTCAAGCACTAGTTGCTAGGTGACTGCCAACCCGAGAATGCTCCGACTCCTGGGCCTGAAAGGCTTATTTTCATTATTTTTAATCTCCTCAATGGCAGCTGTTTTCTTTCCAAGTCAGGGAGCTTCCCCTGATTGGGGGTAAAGAATATTGCAGAACTGTAGCCAGCAGCCCCTGTGAAACTCGGCACGGTGCTTTGTTTTGAAATTTGAAGTGAAACGTTAAGGAATCTCAAGTATGTGTGCTCTCCAAAATACACGTCTCTCTCTCTCTCTCTCTCTCTCAATTTTTTTTCAATTTAAGAGTGCTTTATTGGCATTACAAAAATTATACATTTGTATTGCCAAAGCAATTGCAGCTTGACTGCTTACAAATAGTACACATGTATTAACAGAAAGAAAAAGAATAATATATAAAAAGTATTAAGCATGTAGTGCAAAATGAATTACTAATGTAAGTATATAAACTAGAAATAAAAATAAAACAAGGGATTAGACATATTTACAGAAGCAAAATATACATCTAAGTAATATAATACAGTAATTTGGCCTAATATAGTGTAGATGTGCTGGAAACATCAGATTAGGGCAGGGTGAGTGTTTTCTCTTCTATGGTGACAGGCAGACACATATTGAGCAGCAAACACACAGCAGTTCTTCTGTTCTCCTAACAGATACAACACTTTCTCCTGGTCTGAGAGAGTTTGAAATGTCTGATGGATCTGCTGTATTTTATCGTAGAACACTGTCCGTATATCTGTGTATTTGGGGCATTCTGTTAGGAAGTGCAGCTCTGTTTCCATCTGATTCAGATCACAGTGTGAACACAGTCTCTGCTCTGGTGGCAGCCATGTTTTTCTGTGTCTGCCCGTCTCTATCATCAGCTTGTGTCCGCTGAGTCTGTATCTGGTCAACGTGCCTCTCACAGTGTTTCCCCTGCCATTATTTTAGGGGGGCGGCTTGCCCCCCCAACGGCACCCCCCGCCCCCCTTGAAGGTCAAGTTAATTATATTTTCTCTATAGCGCCAGATCACAACAGAAGTAATTTAAAGTTACCTTTCTTATAGAACATGTCTATACCTTGTTCTTTCATTATGCAAACTAAATAGCCATATATATATATATATATATATATATATATACACACACACACATATTTGTGTTACATTGTGTCTTTACATTAATTATATTTGTTGATTGTAAGTGTCTTTACTGTCATGTTTTTATGTCATAATTTTATGGCATCCTTGCTGCTTATTTAAAAAACAAAACAAACAAAAACATTTAGAATAGTAGTGTAGTTGATTTCGCTCTGCAAATGCGTTATGCATCATTATTATTACTGTGTCATTCTCTCTGTTAAATTAGCAGCTAATACAGCATTCCACTATCAACAATAGACGCAATGTGGCACCCTGCCCCCGTTCAGCCTGGCAGTGCTACTGTTAACACAACTCAGTTTGTTCATCTCTTCACAGGATTGTGACAAACAACACTGGAAGCTTGCTGACCTTAATTGAAAAAATAACGTGTTTGCTCAGTGCTGCACTCAAGACACCCACCCATCATGAGCCAGACCCTTTCTGCTGTGTTCTTAAGGGGGACTCTTTGCAGTACTCTTTTCCATTCAGGTTGCAGTACATTGCTTAGCAGGTTAAAGGTAGAGGGTAAATTTTTAAGGAGGCACAAACAACAGCAAAGTCAAATAGTTGTCTCTCAAAAAGTAAGAAATGATTGCTTTGTTGCTTTGTGCCCACTCTTGCTTATCTGATCAATGATTATCTTTGACATATAGAAAATAGTGAGTGAAATGGTGCCCTAATACATATAGAAAATAGTGAGTGAAATGATGTTTTTGTGCCCTAATCTTTTAATACCTCACTCAAAGGAATGTCGCTAACGAGGGGGCAAAAGCTTAACATAAGTTTGCACAATGGAATGGTCAAGCACTAGTTGCTAGGTGACTGCCAACCCGAGAATGCTCCGACTCCTGGGCCTGAAAGGCTTATTTTCATTATTTTTAATCTCCTCAATGGCAGCTGTTTTCTTTCCAAGTCAGGGAGCTTCCCCTGATTGGGGGTAAAGAATATTGCAGAACTGTAGCCAGCAGCCCCTGTGAAACTCGGCATGTTTTGAAATTTTGAAATTTGAAGTGAAACGTTAAGGAATCTCAAGTATGTGTGCTCTCCAAAATACACGTCTCTCTCTCTCTCTCAATCTCTCAATTTTTTTTCAATTTAAGAGTGCTTTATTGGCATTACAAAAATTATACATTTGTATTGCCAAAGCAATTGCAGCTTGACAATAATAGTAATAATATATAAAAAGTATTAAGCATGTAGTAATAAATGAATAACTAATGTAAGTATATAAACTAGAAATAAAAATAAAACAAGGGATTAGACATATTTACAGAAGCAAAATATACATCTAAGTAATATAATACAGTAATTTGGCCTAATATAGTGTAGATGTGCTGGAAACATCAGATTAGGGCAGGGTGAGTGTTTTCTCTTCTATGGTGACAGGCAGACACATATTGAGCAGCAAACACACAGCAGTTCTTCTGTTCTCCTAACAGATACGGCAGTTTCTCCTGGTTTGAAAGAGTTTTAAACTTCTGATGGATCTTCGGTATTTTATTATACAACACTGTTCGTATATCTGTGTATTTGGGGCATTCTGTTAGGAAGTGCAGTTCTGTTTCCATCTGATTCAGATCACAGTGTGAACACAGTCTCTGCTCTGGTGGCAGCCATGTTTTTCTGTGTCTGCCCGTCTCTATCATCAGCTTGTGTCCGCTGAGTCTGTATCTGGTCAACGTGCCTCTCACAGTGTTTCCCCTGCCATTATTTTAGGGGGGCGGCTTGCCCCCCCAACGGCACCCCCCGCCCCCCTTGAAGGTCAAGTTAATTATATTTTCTCTATAGCGCCAGATCACAACAGAAGTAATTTAAAGTTACCTTTCTTATAGAACATGTCTATACCTTGTTCTTTCATTATGCAAACTAAATAGCCTTATGTTATTTATCTTATTTACTCGACGGCATGTCATTTCAGTCTCTTACGTTATGGTCGCGCTCTCTGCATCACGCACAGCGGAGTTCTGCCCGATGCGCGCGCTCACGCACACACACATACACACAGGTGAGCCCACTCCCACATATGAATTCTGCGTGTCTCTGTGTTAATGAATGGCGCAGACGCGCGGTTGTGTGTAGTACTCGTACTGAAACGCTCGTGACGCTTCCGGTGATATTAACCTCTGCCGTCTCACTAATGAGGACATAAACACATGAACAACATCTCCAGAACTGCTCTGAGAGTCACTTCATCAGCATTTGACCGTTTCATTTCAGTAAAACTATCATCATATCATACACACACACAGAAATGTAATGGTATTCACGGCAACCCGTCAAAATAAAAGTTCGGTTTAACTTGAGGGCATTGCGGCAGAAATATATTACTGTTGTTGAGTAGACTGTACGTAACAGACTACTACTACTAAAATTATTAAAACCTTATTTTTAAGGAATAGGCATTCAATATTTCTTCAATGTTTTAAATGTAATATTAAATTAAAATTAAATGTTTAATTTTCATTACTTAAAAGATAGATTAAATGAATGTTTTATGCCTTAAAACAAAATGTAAATACACAACACAGAATTTCTGAGCAAAAAAATCATAAGGCTATTGTAAGAATAAATGAAACTTGTTTTATGCTTTCAAATTAGACATGCTAAAACAGAATTTGGTTACAATAAAACATAAGGTTGGACAAATAAAACATTTCATAGGGCCCTAAAGTAATATTTGTTAAACTTTTAATAAATTGATGTTAAATTGTTGTGGTGTTATGTCATTACATTTTAAACAGTTGTTTACTGTTGTTGTGTTACTTCATGGAAAGGAAATTTAAAAGTGCATAGAAACCAACAGCTGAGATTAACCTGAAAGCATCAAAACAGGTGAAACCTGTTAGAAATGGAGTCCCAATTTTCATGTTTGTCCCAAAATGAAAGATTTGTGAATTTTAAATGAGTATTTTCTAACATGCTAGTCTTTTATCTTTTAAAAGACACTGTCTGCCTGGTTATTTTTATTTGCAACGTACAGCATGTTTATGGATTCAAAGAAAATTAAGATAATTGTAAAGGAACAAAAATCCTCATTGTGAAAATAGTTTTAACTCTAAATTCTGATTAGATGGCTTCCTTTGGCTTATTGCGCAAATAAACATTGTGATTTCTGATAACTGAATGGGTGAAAATGTTAAACTGCAAGACAGTTATACTAAATGTATTGCTTTGTAACAAGTACATAAACTGGGAGTGTAGTCAAGGCCAGTCCTCACCACTGTACGTTGGTTATAGGCTGGAGAAGTTAGAATGTGTTTAATGAAAGGTGTCCACAAATAAGAATACTTAGTTACACCCTCAGGTCATGATGGAAAGGGAGTCAAGGTCAGATTAATCAGACATGTAGTTATCAACTGATGGCCTTCCTATTTAATACATACTGATGTTGATAAAGGTCTCAAGTTGGATAAATGTCAAGGACAGAACTGGTGAAAAATAATACTACTCCTGACCTCAGGACATTCCTCGCTTCAAAGCAAGCTGGCCTACATTCCCATGTTGTTTGTCATTTGGTACGAGACTGTATTGTAAAGTAGAGCGACTTGTATGTCGCTCTGAGTTCTTCATGTAGGCCTGTGTCCTTGAAGATTCCACTTCATGATAAAAGAGTGGAAATATGAGCATCCTCTTAGCATTCTAGTATTGTTATTCATTGACATAAATGCTCAAAGGCTAAGGCTCACGCGTAGAAAACATTTCCATCATAACTTAAAGTGGCTGATCTGAATGGCCCAGTCACTTTTTTTTCTGTTATTTCAGTGCATTTTTTTCACTGCATACTTTTACAATTAACTTAGAACTAATATAGTACAAATAACTCAAACATTTCTCCTTTCTGTTTTTTTTTTTTTTTTAGTTTTACTACTTGAAAAAATTGAGAATGATGACATTGGTCGAAAAATCCTGAAGATTACTGACTTCGGCCTGGCCCGTGAGTGGCACAAAACGACCAAAATGAGTGCAGCTGGCACTTATTCCTGGATGGCTCCTGAGGTCATCAAGTCCTCTCTGTTTTCCAAAGGGAGTGATGTCTGGAGGTAAGCTGTTATTTTAACTTAATTGCAATGTTGAGCACAAAGCCTGTTATTATAGTGAATTAGTTACTTGAGGTTAGACACAATCACTCGGGCATCATAGGCACACTACCAGCTTTAAAAAAAAAATGCAAGCAGGGTAATTATCCTTCTATGACATCGTTTTAGCTGTTTTAATATATTTATTGTTTTTAATGTAATTACATACTGACGTAATTTTACCCAATATTTGTGTGCCATGACTATATGCACACATTAGAATATTGTCTTTATCTTGCCAGCTCCAAACTGTATTGGAAGTGTTCCAAATCAGTGACTTAAAAGACCGTTTCAGTTCGAATATCGCATTAAAAGGAAACTCCCCATGTAGGCGGGTAGGTTTTGGAACACGGCTTATATGGAATTTGTAATGGCTGATTTTGTTTTTAGGTTCACAGAAACGTTAGGTCAGTTTGAATTAGAACAGCGTTTTGGTCATGATCCAGCTGCCCTTTTACCTTGTTTGTGAAAGCTAAATGTGAAGACTTATCTTTTTCAAAACGTTCTCATGCCACTTTGTTTTCAAATATTGGCATCGGCCGATAAGCTTTTCTGTTTGGCCGATGTGTTCGAGGCGGGACTTTTATTTTGATGGTGCTGAGAACGGCAGCACCTGAGAGCACACCACTCACATTCTCCCTCTTGTTCGCTGTCGTCGGTCAGTTATGTCTAAAACGGATAGAAGTCTGTCTAATAATCAGATAGAACAGTTAAACAAAGGAATTAAAATGGATACAAAAAAGTATTATAAAGATTGCTTTAATATTAGTAATAGAAAGGCAAACATTATAATACTTTCTCATTTGCTGTCAGCATTCAGCAAATACACATTTATATCATTTAAACAAATCTTTGAATGACTAATGAACATTTAATTTCACAAACCTTGCAAACATAGTCGGATCCAGTTGTGAGATCTTGTGAAGTGTGCATGTGTATCCTGCACGATCGCGTGTTCTCTGTGTGACAGTTGGTTCGTGCAAATTGAATGCTGACAGGAGGAGAGTTCAGCTTCACTGGAGATGCGCAATCGACGAACTTTAAACTAAGTTAGTGATTTCAAATAATGCTGTGCTTTATGCATTTGCCCACTGTCATTTTCATTGCGTGCTCTATGTAAAATAAATGTTACCTTGGCTTTATTTGAAAAAAACCAATGCACACAAACTTCCCAGAATATTGAGTGCCCTGTTGGTTACAGTGTTTACTTTTTTTAATTAGATTTTTATTAAATATTTATTTATTTGTGAAAAATGCTTTGTCTTCTAAAGTATAAGTAT